ACGGAGTCTTTACAGGAAGTGGGGTGTGAGGATGTATAGTCCAGGTAGCTGTGGGAGTCGGTGGGTTTGTAGTGAATATTAGTGGCCAGTCTATCCCCAGAAATGGAAACAGAAATGTCAAGGAAGGGAAAGGAGGAGTCAGCGATAGACCAGGTGAAAGTGAGGGCAGAGTGGAAATTAGAGGCGAAATTGATGAAGTTTTCCAATTCCAGACGAGAGAGGGAAGCAGCACCGATGATATCATTGATGTATCGGAGAAACAGTTGTGGGTGGGGGCTGGAATAGGACTGGACAAGGAATGTTCCACGTACCCCATGAAGAGACAGGCATAACTAGGGCCCATGCGGGTAGGGTATCCATGGCAACCCCTCTTACCTGAAGAAAATGAGAAGAGTTGAAAGAGAAGTTGTTGAGAGTGAGGACAAGCTCGGCCAAGAGGAGGAGGGTGGTGGTGGGTGGGGATGGTTTAGGTCTTTGCTGCAGGAAGAAGTGGAGAGCCCTAAGACCTTCCTGGTGGGGAATGGACGTGTAAAGGGATTGCACGTCCATGGTAAAGAGGTGGTGCCTGGAACTGGCAAACTGGAAGTTTTGAAACCAGCGTAAGGTGTCAGATAAATCATGGATGCTCGTGAGTAGGGATTGGACCGGGGTGGAGGGAGAAGACTGAGTCAAAGTAGGAAGAGATGAGCTCTGTGGGGCAGGAGCAGGCTGAAACAATGGGTCTGCCCGGACAATGGGTCTGTTTGTGGATTTTTGGCAGGAGGTAGAAACGAGCTGTGCGGGGTTGGGGAACTATTAGCTTGGAAGCAGGGGTCGGGGGGAATCACCGGATGAAATGAGATCAGTAACCGTAGCGGATACAATGGCATGATGTGCCATGGTGGGGTCATGGTCCAGGGGAAGGTAGGAGGAGGTATCTGAGAGTTGGTGCTCAGCCTCTGCGTGGTAGAGGTCAGTACGCCAGACAACAACAGCACCACCCTTAACGGCAGCCTTAATGGGAAAGTCAGGGTTAGGTCTGAGTGCACGGAGTGCAGTCAGTTTGGAGGGAGATAGGTTGGATTTGGTGAGCAGAGCAGCGAAATTGAGGCGACTAACGTCACATCGACAGTTCTCAATGAAAAGATCGAGCGCAGGTAAAAGGCCGGAGGGAGGAATCCAGGTGGAGGGAGAGAGTTGGAGTTGGGCAAAGGGGTCTGTGGGATGGGTAGAGGGCTCTTGTCCAAAGAAATGGGCCCGGAGGCAAACTCGGCAGAAGAAGAGTTTGGCGCCATGTCGTGCCCGAAGCTCGTTAAGGTGGGGAAGCAGAGGAATAAAGCTGAGGCCTTTGCGGAGTACGGAGCGTTCAGCATTGGAGAGCAGAAGGTTGGGAGGGATAGTGAATACCCAACAGGAGGTGGGGGGGGTGGAGTCTGAGGAGAGGTAGGCTCCAGAGGGTCATGGGTATTTTTGAGTTGTTGCATCTTGTGGGCCTTGATGCCTGAAAGGAAAAGAAAATGTTTCTTGTTAGTACGATGAACGAGCTGGAGGATGAAGTGGAACTGCTGATTGGTGCAACCCTGAGCCGGTGTGTTGCGATGCCGTTGGAGAGAACGGTTGAGAGTTTGCATATGGCGCGGCATGGCACTGAGTGTAGACCTCAGGATGCGGCGAGAGCAGCTGTCCATGGAACGTTGAACGGAGATATTGGTGATCCTGACAAAACATGAGGGATGAAACTTCAGTTGGAATCCATGTGGGGTGAGCCTGAGCCGGAGGCAGTCACGGAGGAATGTGATATGGCTGTGGAAACAAGTTTTAGCAAATACATGGTCAAACACCAGGAGCAACAGTCAAATTAAAGTCGGTGGGCAAGAAGAAAGATTGGAACGGAAATCCCGTTGGAGAGAGGAGCAGAACTTCTTCAAAGTGGGCATGCCTGGAAGAGATGTGGCAGTGAGTTAAATACTAACTAAAAACCAAAGATTGGAGAAAGCCACTTGCAATATGACAGCAAGATTTTAAGTGGTCTGTAAATAATCAACAGAAGACTTTCAAGGCAAAGATACTGCAAGCATAAATTAAACATTAACTTAAGGAGGAAATTTAGAACCCCTCCAATGACAAAAGATTGATGTGGAACAGTTAAAAACATTTATAACAAGAGGTCAGGGACAGGATACATAGGGAATCAGGCAGAAAGTGCAAAGAGAATTGGAAAAGGATACAAGAGAAAAATACAAGGGGAACCCAAAAATCTTCCAGAAACAGAAAAAAGTAAAAACAATAGTTAAATGGGAGCTAGAGGCATATAAAGACAAAAGGGAAGAAAAGGAAATATTATTTGGTGGAGGAAATGGGCTCGACTTACATACCAAATGAGTCTTTTGCACTGGTCTTCAAAAAACAAAATGGAGAATGCAGTGAGGGGTGCATTAACAGGGGTTGAGAGATATTCAATAGAATAAAAATAGAAAGTAGGTGCTCAAATTTAACAAGGAAGCTGGCTCAAATGGACTGCATTTTAGGTTGCCGAGGGAAGTGGAGATGACGACAGCAGTAGGATTGCAAATGTATATTTTTTTTGAGGGATGTGCAAATCTGTAATAAGGGACCTGCTATCTAACATCAAGTAGTTGGAAAACTACAGAGACAACTGTTAAGCAGCAAAAATCAATTCTCCCTTGGAGAAGTATCCTAAAAGTTTTGAGCAACAGTCAATAATTTTGGCTTTGAATGCATGAAATGAGTCAGTACAAAGATACTGCCATGTCTCTCACCTGTCCAACCTGTGTAAGCACAACAATCATGAGGATCTGCAGTCTTCAAACCCTCTTCCATCTGTATCACAAGGTCTTTGATTTTATGTTGAATCCGCTTTACGAAGGCTGGACTGATCTGCAAAGAAGTAATTTTTATTAACACTGCTGTATTTTTAAATATTACAACTGCAGTAGTATATAATGAGAGCCTTGTAATTACTTAACATCTTTTCCCTCAAAGTATCATAATAACCCTTTAGTTTGTACATGTTCCTTCCGCATTTCAAAGAAAATGTAACAGGTATTATGAATGTATACCTAATGCAAATCTGTCAAACCTGAAAGATATCTCAAAAAAGTGGGTGGTTAGAAAATAGAAAAAGATCAAAAAAGGCAATTTAAATATATACCTGGAATTGTTCATCTGGAACACTGCATCTTTTGGCCCCCACAAGAGAGATCATGTTATTGGAAATGGTTCTGCAGTAGGTTAAGTTTAGTAATTACACTTGGCTGTGTGACAGATGGTTGAAAGTTCAATTGGTGATTTGAGGGACTCAAGTACATACTTTAAACTGATACTTTGGTGCAGCACTGGGGTGGTATGTTGATACAACTCCTGCCCTTTGAATGAAACATTTAAGTTGAAGGCCAATCTAAAAATCTGACAAATCCCATGGCACATACATAAGAACCAGGAGCAGGAGTAGACCATCTGGCCCTTCAAGCCTGCTCCAGCATTCAGCAAGATCATGGCTGATCTCTTCAGTTCCACTTAGCCAGCCTCTCAACATAATCCTGAATTCCTTTACTGTTCGAAAAACTATCTTAGCTTTAAAAAGCCTCAACAACTTCACTGGGCAGGGAATCCTACAGATTTTGAACCACATTGGGTGAAGAAGTTCCTCCACAATTCAGTCCTAAATATGCTCCCCCTAATTTTGAGGCTATGCCCTCTTGTTCTAGTTTCACCTGCCAATGGAAACAACCTCTCTGCTTCTGTCCTATCTATTCCCTTCCCCCCTCATTCTAATATAATCCCAGTCTACTCAGTCTCTCCTCATAAGACAAGCCCCTTAACTCCGGAATCAACCTAGTGAATCTCCTCTGCGTCCCCTTCAGTGCCAGTACCTCCTTTCTCAAATAATGGGACCAAAACTGCACACAATACTCCAGGTGTGGCCTCACCAGCACCCTATACAGCTGCAGTATAACCTCCCTCCTTTTAAACTCAATCCCTCTAGCAATGAAAGACAAAATTCCATTTGTCTTCCTAATTACCTGTTGCATCTGCAAACCAACCTTCTGCGATTCATGCACAGGGACACCCAGGTCCCTCTGCACAGCAGCATGCTCCAATTTTTTACCGTTCAAATAATAATCCTTTTTACTGTTATTCCTACCAAAATGGATGGTTTCACATTTATCAACATTATACTCCATCTACCAGACCTTTGCCAACTCACGTAAACTATCTACATCTCTCTGCAAACTTTCAGAGTCTTCTGTACACTTTGCTCTACCACTCACCTTAGTGTCTTCCCAAAAGTTGACACACTACACGTGGTCCCCAACTCCAAATCATCTATGTAAATTGTAAATAATTGCAGTCCTAACACTGATCCCTGAGGCACACCACTAGTTACTGTTCGCCAACCAGAAAAACACTTATTTATCCCCACTCTTTACTTCCTGTTAGTTAACTAATCCTCGATCCATGCTAATACATTGCCTGTAACGCCATGCACCTTTATCTTATGCAGCAGCCTTTCCTGCAGCACTTTGTTGAATGCCTTTTGGAAATCCAGATACACCACACCTACTGGGTCCCCATTGTCCACCACACTCGTAATGTCTTCATAGAATTCCAGCAAGTTAGTTAAGCATGACCTGCCTTTCCTGAACCCATGCTGTGTCTGCTCAATGGGGAATTGCTATCTAGATGTCTTGCTATTTCTTCTTGGATAATAGATTCAAGCATTTTCCCCACCATAGAAGTTAAGCTAACCGGCCTATAATTCCCCATCTTTTGTCTACCTCCTTTTTTAAACATTGGCATCATATTTGCTGTTTTCCAATCTGCTGGAACTGACCCAGAGTCCAGTGAATTTTGGAAAATTACCATAATTGCATTTGCTGTTTCTCCCGCCATCTCTCTTAGTACCCTGGATGCATTCCATCAGGGTCAGGAGACTTGTCTACATTTAGCTCCATTAGCTTGCCCAACAAAACCTCTTTCATGATAACGATTATGTCTAAGTGCTCACCTACCTTAGTCTCCTTGTCATCAGTTATTGGCATGTTATTTGTGTCCTTCACTGTGAAGACTGACACAACATACCTGTTCAATGCCTCAGCTATTTCCTCATTTCCCTTTATTAAATCCCCCTTCTCATCCTCTAAAGGACCAATGTTTACCTTAGCCACTCTTTACCATTTTATGGATTTGTAGAAACGTTCGCTATCTGTCCTTATATACTGAGCTAGTTTACTCTTCTTTATAGCTTTTTTGTGGCTTGCTGTTGACATTTAAACTTTTCCCAAACTTCTAGTTTCCCACTGGTCTTTGCCACTTTGTACGCCTTATCTTTCAATTTGATAGCTTCCCTTATTTCCTTAGGCATCCATGGCTGTCTACCCTTTTTCCTACAATCCTTTCACTGGTATATACTTCTGCTCAGCACTTTGAAAAATTGCTTTGAAAGTCCTCCACTGTTCCTCAACTGTCCCACCATAAAGTATTTTCTTCCAGTCTACTTTAGCCAACTCCTCCCTCATCCTATTGTAGCCTCATTTCAACACCTAGAGAACATATCAGGCTTTCGGACTAAAATTAACACCTCAGTCAACATTATCAAACAACAGATCAGGAAGGTCAAATCCTACAGCTAATTCAGACAGGTTTGCATTACAAAAATGTAATCAACACGAACAAACTACCAATCTTGATTGTTAAAAAACAAAAAGCTAAAGCCATTTCAAAAAGAAAGGATACAATTAGTCTAGACCTCAGCATAAAGGCTTTATCATTTTATTTTACTTTAGATTCAGGACTGAAGAGAAGCAGGCTGTTTTACAGTAAAGTATGAGGAACGAATTCCAGTACTTTTGAAAATCAACTTAGGCGAGGTGACAGCCTCATCGTATTATCGCTGTATTATGACAGTATTATCGCTGAACTATTAATCCAAAAGACCCATGTAATGTTCTAGGGACCCTGGTTCAAATCCCTCCACAGCATATGATGGAATTTGAACGCAAATTTTAAAAAAAGTCAAATTAAGAAACTAATGATGCCCATGAATCCATTCTTAGTTGTTGGAAAAATCCATCTGGTTCACTAATATCCTTTAGGGAAGGAAACGGCCATTCTTATCTAGTCTGGCCTACACGTGACTCCAGACCCACAGCAATGTGGTTGACTCTTAACTGCCCTCTGGGCAATTAGGGATGGGCAATAAGTACTGGCTTAGTGAGCAATTCCCATCCCGTAAATGAATAAAAAAAAGTTACTGTGAGGTGTTTACACTGTGTTGGGGAGGTGGAGGGCAGGGGAAGATGTTTGTAGTTGGTCTGGTTCTGGAGGAGCACGTACAGATGAGATTTGGCCATCAACAGGTTGCTGATTGGTTTGTGAAGTTGCAACCAGTTATGCATAACAAAGGCAATCAGCTTGACAACAAATAGTCAAATACTGGGTGACTGAATAGCTTTGAGTGTGAATGAAGGGGTCGGCTAATATCAAACTGTTGAATTATAGATGGTGTACACAGTGTTGTCTCGCTCTCTCTCCAGTAAAATACCTAAACCTGAAGATTATTTTGTTCTCACCAGTTGCTGCAAGGTGCTGCTTTTAACTAGAGACTTTATCATTTGTGACCCAATTGCTCTATGCCTCCTTTAAAGAAGTCAAAGAACTTCACAGGAATGATCAGAAAACTGAAAGACATGGGAAACAAAAGAATAACTCCATCAAATCCCAAGGACTGGTGCTAATGATCTGCATCCCCATTATTTTTGCCCCTCCACCCCAATACCAATGATTTTTTGGTCTGTCTGTATTTATTTGTATACATTTAGGGGCTTTGAGTTTAAACTATTAAAGGTCATAGTGTGTCTCTGTGGTTAGAACCTATTTATTTGTAATAAATAGTATTTTGCTAGGGAACAATTTGTTATTCCAGCATGCAACTTCAGTGAGGTGTGACAACAGTGTTATGTTTAACAGAGCCCTATTTCTAGTTATTCTCATTCCTCAAGGACTAGGCTTTAGAACATTGCTGTAAAATAGTCATGTGTTAGGGTTAAGAATTTTAAAACTAAAATTAAGACCTGTCAGAGTTGGGAATGGAACTGTCAAGATTTTTAATGTTTGTGTAAAATTTCGAAATGATAATTTTCTTCAAACAAATTATATTTTATCCAATCAGAATTTAAGACAATTGTATGTAGCACCTCTTATTTGTATTAAGTTCACTAGAGGAAAGAGACATCCCCGAGAGTTACTTAAAGTAATTTCCGCACTGTTTGCAAAACAAATGTTAACCAACTCTCAATCAGTTTCAGTAACTTACTTTCAAAAGTGCAGTAGTTCCTTCCTCAGTCCTTAAGTTTTAAAACCGTTCTTTTCTCATTTTAGTGCACAAGATAAAAGAAAAATGAGAAGATTGTATGTACATAATGTATATACAACAACAGGTCTTAAGGTCAATACAACATGGAGCTGGAGGAACACAGCAGTCAGGCAGCATTAGACCAGCAGGACAGTTTTGGGCCTAGACCCTTCATCAGGACTGGCGAGGGGGAAGGGGGCTGGGAAATAAATACAGAAAAGAAGGGTGGGGCTGGGAGAAATTACGTGGGAAGCTGATAGGTGGATGCAGAGGGGGTAGTGGGGATTGGTCAGTGGGAAGGGTGGGCGGATAGGCGAAGAGCTTCAGGACGGAGCAGATCACCAGTGGGAAAGAGATCTACTGAGGTCTTTCCGGAGGGAGGAGGAAAACTTCTTCAAGGTGGGCATCCTTGGAAGAGGCTTCGCAATGGGGTTATAGGTCATTCGGAGATAGCAAGAACCGCAGATGCTGGAGTCAGATTCAAAACAGTGTGGAGCTGAAGGAACACAGCAGGTTAGGCAGT